ACTCCTTGTGAGTAAGCAGGAGTTGTGCTTTCACACACACGTATGATCGCATGATCCCGGGGACGGCCTCAGCATTCTGAGACCACCTGATAAGGAAATTTTACCGAGATCATTCCCTTGGGTCTTAGCATTCCAAGACACTTCCTTATGACTTCATAGGATCAGTGCAAAGGAGCATTTGAGTCAGCAGCTACAAGGTGACACCTGTTTACAAAATTGCTTGAGATGTTACTTGCAAACTTCCCAACGTTGACTGGGCACCTCTAACATAAAAGGCTCTAGACTGTTTCAGTTGCCATGTGACAGGCACACCTGGTAGTGACCTCAAAGACTCCTTCACTATAAGACTTCAGAGACCACCTCTCACACCTCCTGCGATTACTTATGATGGCCTTATTTGTAATGTTTTTCTCTCTCTTTTGTTAGTTACCGTATTTCCCCATGTATAAGACGCTCCCATGTATAAGACGCACCTAAATTTTGGGGCCCGAAATTTGAAAAAAAAAAGTATTACATAAAGTTATTGAACTCAAGTTTTATTCATCATAAAATTCATACAACTCATCACTGTCAAAACTCCCAACCATTAGCTTGTCCTCCTCTGTGTCTGATTACAAATCACTGTCTTCCTATATTGCCTCGTCCTCAGTTCCATCTATGGCATTTGAAATCTACAACCACTGTATAAGCTGCACCCAATTTTTAGAACCCAAATTTTTCAAAAAAGGGTTTGTCTTATACATGGGGAAATACGGTATCTTGAGTAGATATTTATTAATTTTATTAATCTTGTCAAAGAACCAGAATTTATTGTTTTAATTTTCTTCATTGATTTCACACTGATATCTTTTTTTTTTATTCCGCTTCCTTTCAGTATAATTTGCTTTTCTTTTTATTGTTTCCTAAGGTAAAGACTTACATTAATGATTATATGTCTTTGTTTTATCTAGTGTGTTTGTTCAGTGGCATAAATTTCCCTTTGGGCATTGCCTTTGCCGCATCTCTCTATAAGTTGTGTTTTTAATTTCATGTAGTTCAAAATAACTTTATTTCTCTTGTGAGTTCTTCTTTGATTCTATGTGTTGTTTTGAAGTGTGTTATTGAATATTCACATATTTGGGGGGTTTTCAAGTACTGTCCTGTTATTGATTTCTAGATTAATGCCTGTGTGGTGTGAGAATGTATTTTATATGATTTCCATCTTTTCAATATATTAAGGTGTGTTTTGTGTCCCAGAATGTATTCTGTCTTGGTGAGTGCTCCATGTGAATGTGAGAAGAATGGGTATTCTGCTCTTGTTTCATAAAGCATTGCTTAGATTACACTTAAATCCAGTTGTTCCACGGTGCTATTGAATTCATCTCTGTCCTTCCTGATTTTCTCCTGGTGAGAATTTATAATTCATGATAAATAGGTGTTTCTACACTATAGTAGGGGATTCATCTATTTCTACTTGAATTCTGTCATTTTTTGCTTCATGTATTTTGCATCTCTGTTGTTATGCACATACACATGAAGGGTTGCTATGCCTTCAACAAACTTCATCTGTTGTATTAATATGATAAATATAAAAGAGGTTTTTACCTTCACTTTTCTAATTTTCTGACCTCATCATTGATATCCTTCCTGATGAATATTATCATTCCTTTCAAATTAGGTATATTTGTGACAAATTCCCTCAATTTCTGTCTCCAACTGCCCTTATTTTCCTATTTTTGAAGGATAATTTTGCTTCACAGAATTTTAGGAGAGTGGTTTTTCTTCTGTCAAAACTTTAGCGTGAAATATCTTATTCCATCCCTTTACTTTCAGTCTGTGTGTGTCTTTTGATCTGAGATGAGTCTCTTGTAAACAGCATATGCATGGGTCCTGTTTT